GTTCAGTTTTAAAATTACTGGAAGAAATCAGAGTTCAAGAGGTTTCTTAATGATTATAAAATTTATGTTTGTTTCGCTTTCCTTAGATGGTAATAGATTATCAGCAGATCAACGTTTCGACAAACCATGCTGATCGTTCGAATGGGGATACTACCGAGGAACATGCATCTAGCAAGTTCATTCATATAAATTAACAATGAAATTTGGAGAGACCATTATTGTAACAATTGAGATATTACAATGAAGAATACCATAAACAGCTATCAAGAAATTATTCCCAACAATCTTTACGTCCATCGAATTGACTAATCTGATTGGGGTTTTGTTGACGGTATCAATCTCAGTACGTTTCAATACGAATCTCAAAAAAATTTTCGATTGTAAGATTGAATCTTCCATCAGAAATGATATTCATTCCAGTTTGCTTATGACAGAATAGCTGGAGGGGTGTAAAATGAGGTTATAAGTGTGTCGATTTTTGAAATCTGCAGTCATCAACCGAATAATTTCAAAAAATGGCTTTGAGCCATCAATTTTATATTCATTCACTCTTCCGGAATCTGTTCGCGAACAGATTTTCCCGATGTGGGTTTTATTCGCAGGTGGATTATGCCAAGCCTTCAAACACGCATATTCTCATCTCAATGCGACGACATATTCTCACTGAATAGTTTAGAGTGTAACGTTTAGTGTTGTTGTTGCTACTTCGACTAATTGCATATAATAGAGACGTTTTAGATATTCAGTTCCTTTATCAGAAATCTGCGATTGTTGTTCACGAACCGAATGGTGTGGTTGGGAGGAGATGAACTGAAGTGAGCAATCAACTTTCAGTGCTTATGGCAACGCGAAGCTTGAATGAAAGAGCTCGAATAAATGGCACAACGGTACGTTTACGTTACCTTGAAACATCAGTGGGTAATTCGGCGGTTGATCGCTTGATGGGTGGAGGATTACCGTTGTCCGGTATTTATCTGGTCGACGAACACAACAGCCGAACGTACGCATCTGTTCTTGCCAGATACTTCTTGGCTGAAGGTTCGTTTGGTTGTGTGCGAATGTTTTGCATTTGACGTTGATGAAAATCATTACTTTCCAGTTACTTTTTGTTGAGCAAACGAAGTATAAGTGTGACATTCATATGATCACGATTGCTGTACTATACACTTTAAAGTCAGATTAATTTGTTGTGTGAATGATTTCAGTGCTTATGGTAGCATGCTTCAATGTGAATTCATTGCTAGACCACATTGTTTTTATTCTTGTAGAAATACCATCATTTTCAGGTGTGATTCATAAGCACAGCCTTTTGATAGCGTCGCCGTCACGCGATCCATCTGAAGTACTCTCGAAATTGCCACAAAAAGTTGAAGAAAAAGTCGACGAGCGATCATCAGAATCGAGTTCAATAGGTGATGTCGAGCCGATGAAGATCGCATGGCGATATGCGAGTGTACCGAAAGTGGATTCGTCGATAAAAGGTCAACGCTTGAATAAGCAGTACGATCTCACCAAAACAATGGACAGAGCGTTGATTGATTGCTGCGATATAAGTAAATATCCATCCGATGAAACATCCGCTTCATATTCACAATTGTGGAATCAATTGATTCAAATCCTTTCGTGCCAAAAATATCGTCCTTTGAACGCATTAAACGGTGACTCAAATTCATCTTCATCTGAGCGCAATCTTTTGCGGATTGTTATTGAGGGTGAGCGCATAATGTATTTGAATATTTGAAGTTCTATTTTATATTCTCTCTTAACATTTTTTGCATGTGAATTCTTATCAAGTTTCAGTTTATTTTTTACATTGCAAAACACATTTTAGCGATTGAAAGTTCGAGGTTTATTCAGTGTTGTTTCATTTGTAATTTACATTATTTCGTCAGCGTTTCATTACGAATCATATGGACATCAATACAAACTTTTTTATTCTTCATCATTTTCTACGAACTGTTCAGCTTGGAACAGATTCATGTTACAACTTTAGATTTTGGTTCACCGATGTGGAGCGATTCAGAAATGGAGTTGAAATTTATGGCTCGATTGAGAACATTGATTAATGACTATTATGTGGTTGTTATGCTGACAGTGAATTCCAATTCTATTGATCCTCAGCGTAGGGTAAGCATTTTCTGTTCACCGCACTCATATTTTCATTTTGAACGTGATGATATGGATTGAGCCTGGTTCTAATATATTACTGTAACTAGCGCACTATGCATTCATTCGAGCTGAGTCCGTTGAAGATCGAAATTCAAATCTTAAGTTGATAAATGTTGTGAACATTCCTTCGTAGTTTATCGAAATTTTTTTAATTTCTAAAAATCAATTGGTAATGAAAATCTGTTTAAGGATCGTATTTATTCGTACTGCGATGCGGCATTCGTAATGGAGACAATTGATGACCCCAAATTGACAGCGTCGAATTTTGGTGATTCTTTCGATGGATACTTTCGGATCGTGAAGTTACCGTCGATATCATCGATTGGTTGTAATTGTCCAGAAAGTAGCGATTTGACGTTCGAATTGCATCGACGTCGTTTCGATATTAAAATATTGCACTTGCCACCTGCACTCGACGATGACAGTAGTGTTGACGGCATTGACAAGAAGTCCTCGAGTCGCCTACCTTGTCAGAGTATGCTTGATTTTTGATTAACCTACCAATTGATTGTCTAATTGATATGACCCCTTCATTAAATCATTCCAATTTGTATCCGTTCTTATTTCGTTCAGCCATCCCGATTAATCCGTCTATGAAGGTGAAATATCGAACAGTTAAGTACGCTGTGATGAAGTTGATTTCGATTGTTTGGTATTCAGTGTATTGTTAATAATGTTGAACGTCATTTGTTTGTATGTACTCGTGCGATTTTTGTAATAAATTTCAAATTCATTCTTAAATGTTCATCGATAGACAAACTTTATTGAATTGTTGTTTTTCTGTGAAGGAAGAATTCAGTACTTGCTTCACACTATTCAGTCTCATATTAGTGTGCATACAGTGACGTTGATCGCAGATATTTTCTGATTATTATTCGTTGATAAAGATCACACAAGAAATTGTCAAGAGAGTGCGTGAACTCATGATATTTCTCATACAATTTATCGAATTTAGAACACAGTTAGCTAGAGAACAGTATCCTAATTTGAGCATGTGATGAGAATAATTTGACAGGATGTTAAAACGATACATCTGTGAGGGTTGGAGGAGTTATGCTTGCTGTGCCAACAACGTAATGTACTTCGCAAACGATTCGTTGACTTCATGGGCCACACAGCCAAAGAGGTAATTTCCTTGCTTCTTTGACACGTCTCTTTCAGAAGTCCTTCACCAATCATGTTTAATGCACAGTACACAACTGCTATGTGTGAAGCCAATAAGAAATCATCCAATATATATATATATGGTAGGATTTCATGTGCAACATATGAATTAGCTGAATTGTTTTCAATCGAAAACAAGTCAGTCACCTTCATTGCTGGAAGAGGGCACGATCGATAGGTGGTTGTACGGCTGTTGATTCAGGGCATTATCGAACGTATCATCCAAAAACGTGCCATTGGTTTGTCGTGATGAATTCACCGTGCCAAACAGATTTGATTTTCGCGTTTGGTTCCCGATGCATATGTCAGTTCAGTTGAAAAAAATGGAAGGCAAATTGCGAAGTGTCGACTTGATCATTGAGGTTCAACACATTACCTATTATTTAGAAGTTTTATTTGTGAATGAATACCATTCTGATAATAATATTAGTGATTTGATAAACGTTTACAACGGTTCAAACGAAATGACAATAAATTATTACTCGCTTCTGAGTTGTTTCGTGACAGCATTATGACATATTACAACGATTGAAAGTGTGATGTGTTGCTTGAGGTTCATGATGCACGCGTGCCGCTCAGTGGTCGCAATTCACAGTTC